AACTCGTTAGATCATTATGATGATAGTTCCTTTTTACCTACTCTTGTGCAAAAAGGGAACTTTTTTATACACTGTGGCTTGTGGAAAGCTTCCGAGAATAACGACTCAGTCTTCCTGAGCCGCCACAATATTCAGCAAAAGTTTCAAACGTAGCCTCCAAAAAATTCAGTTCTAAGAGAATGAAGATTATAGGCGGCTACAATCTAAACAGCCCGGGAAAGAAAAAAAGATGACAGATAACGAATTTAATATTTCGCTTGAACTTTGTTCGGAACATTTAATAGGTTCAAATCTTATTTTGGAGTAAATTGTAGCAGCCGTAATGTTCGTCTGTATCTCTTCCATCGAGCCAAAAGATTCTAATAGACCATAATGCACCTTGTTTCTCCCCTCACATTTTGCAGTAATCGTTGTTTCCAATTGCTTCCGGGTATACAGCCGTTCCAAGAGAAATCGAGGACAAAAGCTATGCAAAATTTTGGGATAAACAAGGTGCATTTATGATCTTTGTGAAGATGGTGAATACTCACATTTCAATTACAACAACGGCCCGACGAACAAGGCTGGTCTGCCTGTAGTTTTGAGTTGATTTACTGCTACCTGTTTACACATGCTGAGCCAGTTCCAAGCTATTGGAAGAACAAAAACATGCTGCGGTTTGGATGATCGTAATTTGGCCCCATCAAATATCAGGGGCACCCAACGACAATTTTCGGAAAAATATCTTTTCGGAAGACGATTTGAGATCTAGAATTTTCGGAACATTTGTTGTAAAATTTCTTGCTTGCCTGCCTCTCCTAGGATTTTCTGACATCTAAAAAATGGTATAATTGCCTATTTTTAACGGATTTTTACCCTAAAAAGGTCACCTAGAATTTTCGGGAGCCTTTTTTCTGGCTAAAATTTTCGAAAAGGTAAGTTTTGATCCCTATAATTTTCGGATCACTTGACTTTCAGTTACGAAATCCGAACAGATGAAAAATTTTTAGGGGATAAAAATATGCCTATACCTACCGTTTAAATACTAAAATACGTTAAACAATTCTACGTTTAAGTGGTTTTGAACTATATTCTCGTTGGGTGCCCCTGAAATATATTCATCATCATTTTTTTATTAGCCTTTTTTTTATAGCAAATTTTACAGGATACAGCAGGTTGTTAGGCGAGGAGACCTCAAGAAACCACCAGGCTTATAAAGAGAGGCGACCTCGACATCACAGTATTATAAGAAATAAGGGCTGCGAAGAAGTGCGGCTGAACTAATTTAGTAACTATCTTAATAAAAACTCTAGCACTTTGTTCTTAAAGACAGAAAAGCTTGACAAGTTTGTAACAGATGCAGGAAGACAGTTCCAGATGCTAGGTCCTTGGTAAAGAATTGTGTATTTCTTGATGTTCGTACGACAGGAATGCACTCGATAATTACTAGCTGTTCTTGTGTCATATCTATGGACTTGACTGTTTGTCATAAACAGAGAAACAATATCATGATACTGAGGACTGACGGGGAAATTTGACTGCTTTTTATGGTAAAAGGTTTTTTAAACTTGGGATAAGAAGAAAGCAAGCTTAAGACCGACCGGCACGAAAAAAAAAAAGCGCCATTCCGGTGCTTTCTCGCATTTAAACACTATAAACAATATTTTTCACATTGTTTCACTGTAGACTCTCGAACAACAATGAAGTATCATACTGTTTGGATAACTACAGCTGGCAGGAGATTTTGTAAAATGTTTGACAAAAGTTTATATGATTATTACGGTAGTTTTACAAATGAAGGAATTAAGTTGATGTTTGCAAATGATATATCAAGGAAGTTAATTGTAAAATTTGAGCTATCGCTTGCACTACCACTTCCCGCTGTGACATCACAACAACGCTGAAGGCTTATTATAATCGCGATAGCGGGTCATTATCTACAATTTACTGTATAAATAAAAAGCTCAAATAGCTAAAACCAAACTGACTCTTAAATATATCACAAACCGCTTGAATGATCGTGACTCGTGGCTATCTACTATCTTATATCCATAGGCTCCTGACAATCTATAACAAACGTACCTTCGAACCCAGACTTATTTTTGAAAGTTTTTCTTCTTTAACCACATGTAACCCAGGATCACTGTTTGTGTCACGTTTCATAACATGCGTAAATATAGAGGACATATGGGGCGAAGTTAAGGTCTGGAAATTTGCAAGAAAGTGGAGATAAAAATCGATGAAACTTACCATGTGGCGAGTTGTTGTTGTCCTTAATATGTACACGAAGTTTCGGAAAAAATAGTCTCCTTCACCTTTCCTTCAAGGAGACTATTTTTCCCGAAACTTGTTTACAAATCAAGGACAACAACAACTCGCCACATGGTAAGTTTCACTCAGTGAGCTTGGGTTACCTGTGCTTAAAACCAGATGGCTACAATTCTGTGAGATTTCCCCTGGAAATAAACAGTCTTGAGAGTCTTTTCCACGTGATCTGACGCAGCCTGCGTAGAAAGCGCTTGAAAACAATGGGCGCCCATTATTTCAAGCGCCTGCCGTGTAGACTAGGTCCGACGCCATCATGTCCACCAAGAAATGACCTAGTTAACGAGAACAACTCAATGAGGAGTTGCCCCACCTCCTATATATACACCCGCCGGGACTAGGACCACTTCAAATCAATTCCCCACCCCTGAGCCCCGAAGTGCTGGACCTCTCCCAGGGGGCCCGCCCTTTGTGAAAGGTAAATCATGCGTAAGTGAGTTTGCTGACCCATTTAAGTCCAAGTACATGTAGGACGTAGGCTTTTTGTGCCTTTGTAATTGGTCATTCAAACAGTTGACGTGTTTTAAACATGTCAACCCTGTAAGACTGTAGCTCGGACAGTGGAATACAGTCTTTTTTTCAGTTTTTACAGTGTAATCATGTTTTTAAGAACTATTTAAATTTCTTGGTTTCCCTGATTGAATTTATACTCAAGTATTTATCCTATTTTGATACCTCACCTCTTGTTAATTCTAAAGCGAGCATGTGCAAAACGAACTTGAAATTTATTTCCTTCATACATACAGGAAATTTGATTAAAAAGAGCAACAGGAAGAAGCTATCACTGAGGCACGTGTACACGATATCGAATAACGGTAGCTGAATCATTTCAATTTAAGAAACCCCCAGCACTTGGAATAACTTAATTGTGCGGATATCACCGACATGGCAACTCAAAAGCAAAGTGCGCCCTCATTTGCCACAATTCTTTCTGTTTTGTCTATTGGGTTTTATTGTGCCGGGTTTTTAAGAGTTGAACTGGAACTAAACGAACAGAAGAAGAGAATTAACGCTCTTGAAATCGTCGCAGAGACTAAGCCTCCATCGAGTGAAGTACACTCAACAATAACCAACAATTCTCAGCGTAAGTTTCTTTTTAATTCAGCCTAGGTTTGTTTTTACTTGGTAAAGTTGCCAATTTTTGAAAGATTCAACAAAATTACAGTTATTTATTCCAGATAATAGCTAGCTTGTTCTTCCTTTTCCTCGCAGTTGCAACTATCGGAATAAGTGTGTGTGCGTGTCGTTTTTTGCTTGTTGAGGTGACCCGCTTTCCAAAGGTCATTAGACCGCGTTCTCGAACTGATTTCTTGTGGTAATTATGAAGGCAATCATGAAGACAATTTCAGTGGAGCAACAGTTACCTAGTCAAAAAAGTTCAACATTCAACTGCAAGGATCATTTCCACTTTCATATGTTCACACTTTACAGATAGCTCTTTCACCGGCACGCACCAGATAAGGCTTCTTTTACTCATAAGAACGGTGATTTCGGCGCGATTTCCGCTTGTAACGGAGCAAATCACCGCCCCACCGATTGCGAAAGTACAGCGTTACCTGTCGGATAGATGCTGTGCCACACTTTGATGTAGTGTGAATAGTAGCTGAAAAAAAGAGAAATGAGAACTAAAAACTATATACACTGTTCACAGGTAGCCATTACGACAACTGAAGGACCTGAAGAAGGATCACGAGTTTATCCCTATAATATACAGATTTTGCCAAGACTAAAAGCGAATCGTGACTCTATTCCGGTCCCTTAAATAACCCTGACTTCTCTTTTCATTAAGTATCTACACAGACGTCTTTGCGGCTTCGTGCGTCTGTTGTTTTTATTTTTTTTTTAATTTGGAGCCACCGTAGTTTTTACAGAAGGATGAGGTACTTCGCTTCAAAGGAAGCGGCGGACATTTGTAAAATGTAAAGCAGGTTACACAATGAGTTTCGGATTTCTCACAGCATAACACAATTTTGTCAAACTCAAGAACTTAAATTGCGTAACTGAATGCGACATGTGATTTCGCTTCCCCTTTGCATCTACTTCTTGTTATTTTGTCACTACCTTTTACTGAACCGGATTTGTCAGCATTATTGACGGACCTGAACCAGAGGATTCGGTGAACTTCAGTTCCATGTACTGAAATAAGTCTTATGTTGCCAACGAACGAATCGACTGACTGACGAGGCTCAAAGTACGAAATATATTTCAAGGATTTTAAACTTCTAGAGCATTTTTATTTTACATTTTTCTTACGTGCGTCGAATGAGGTAAAGACGAGATGTCTTACTTTGCAAGTAGTTCAAGTGAACGAATCGAATCTTTTAAAGAATCTTAATCTTAATCTTAAAAAGTAGTCTATTATATTTGAATTGTAATCACAAGCAACAAATTTAATTAGTTAATTAATGGAACCATTAAAGACTTGCTTTAATTATACTGATTCCAATTGCGGAGCTGTTATCACTCGTTTTAGGCATCGGCAACTGATAATTAGTTATTACAGTTAGATATTTGCTGGCGAAACATTTTAAATTTATTTGTTTATAGCCCGTCCCTTAAGAATTACATGTCAAAAAAAGATATTTGATAGTATTTATCTACTCAAGGCTTAGTTGCATGAATACGTGTTCTTTGAGCTTTGAATTTATATTTCGCGGTTCTTTCACCTAAATCATTTGTCTGATTATTTACCCCGTAATGCCGTCAATCGTCATACTGGTAGTAACTAGCTCCCACTCGATGAGTTGTAAAGCTTATACTGTACAGTCTTCTTTTTACCATGAGGGTTGAACATGACAATAAAGGTTGTTTCTATTCTTTTTAGAGCTTCAGTCGCTTGAGCTCCACAGAAGCAAACGTCAGGTTGATAAAGTGAATACGACGCTTAAAATAAACAAACTTATATCAGAGTTAAAACCACACATCTGTCAATCAAAGGGTGTCATGTGTTCACCAGGACCTCCAGGTCCACCCGGACCGAGAGGAGAGAAAGGAACCCGGGGACGAAGAGGACAGAGAGGGAAACAAGGAAACAAAGGAGATCAAGGAATTATGGGATCACCAGGAAAAAGTGGCAAGCAAGGCATCATACAAAGGTCATTAGATCGCGTTCTCGAACTGATTTCTTGTGGTAATTATGAAAGCAATCATGAAGACAATTTCAGCAGAGCAACAGTTACCTAGTTAAAGAAATCAACATTCAACTGCAATGATCATTTCCTCTTTCATATGTTCACACTTTACCAGATAGCTCTTTCGCCTGCACGCGTAAAAACACACACCAGATAGGGCTTCTGTTAACACATAAGAACGGTGATCAGTTAGGGGCGATTTCCGCTTGTAATGGAGCAAAGCAGCACCGCGCCGATCGCAAAAGTAGAGCGTCACCTGTCGGATGGGTGCTGTGCCACAGTCAGTGATGTAGTGTGAATCGCAGCTGAAGTGAATAAGTAGAAGCAAGGTCTGGAGTGACGACTAGGACGATTTAATTCACTAAACCCTCTCGGCTGGTTGCTTCGGCACGATATTTATACTAGATGACGTGGGAACGACTTGTTCTAGTTCTGTGCCGTTGCTGTTCATACTATGTATACCCTATTATAGTGTGAACGTAGCTTCAATAATTAACTCACGGGTAGCCTGTGTAGCATACGTCGAAAGACTGTATATTGAAGGAAACCAAAAATGTCGTTATAAAGGTGACGTCATCAACAACGTTACCTCTTTCTCCAGCTTCTAACAAAGTAAGAAAGTCAGGCCTAGCAGCGTAGTTGACATTTTCCGAGCAAATTTACAAAATTCGCGTTAATTTTTGTTAACGTTAATGTCCGCGCCATTAATAAACTGCAGCGTTATTTTCTGCGACCTTAGTTTCTATCATTTTGCCCCCAAATTCTCGACATACTGCAGACATTCTTGACTTGCGCCCTTTATATTTCAGATCAATCTTTCACAAATTGATTACTGTAAGAACATTTCACCTTCATTGTCGCTGTAAGAAAAATAACCCACAACATCTGCCCCCTAGATTTCGGTCAAGTTTAAATATATTTGTTCCTGTTGTTTTAACAACTTTCGTTTATTTTGTATGTCGTGTTAATTTTTCGTTCTTTTAAAATTTTACCTTGCCTTTCGCGTCACTTTTCTTAGTTGGGAAGTATTTTCCCCTTTTATTCGCGTTAATTAAAGTCGCGCTAATTTCAAATACCTTAATTAACAGAGCGGTAATTTCCTATTATAAGGTATATGAAAAATGTACGTTATTTGAGAGGTGTCAAATGTCCTTGATCTATCCTAATTGTTTTTGACGTAACGGTAGTGAACAAGACTGTGCTTTCATCTAAAAGCAGAAGACCACTAGACAGGTATTATATGACATTTATAATTGTCATTATCAGCCAACAATAATCAAAGAAGAAGAAAATATCCTACAGAAGTCTGAAATCAACAAAATTAGTGATAAGAGTCGATAATAAAGAGTCGGTGAAGAACAGCCAACAGCATCTTGGAAAGGAGTCCAATATAATTTTGCGCAATAAATATCAACCTTGTTTCGAGGCTACTTTCTCAGAAGCCTGAAAAAGGATAGATGTTATTTTTTTTATGACGTCAACTTTATTAGCAAGATTTTCGGTGTCATTTAATTTACAGTTTACAATCTACAATCCTCGTTCAGTCTGCAGTCTTAAAATGTCATACAGCGGATGTTAACTTCCCGTCTTCATTTGTCTGTACCTTGGCAAATTCAGGATATAATAGGATTTTTAGTCTAACAGATATTCTTCAAATAGCAGTTGTCATCCGCCAAGTTGTATTTGTGCTGTTTTTGCAAATTTTCTCCACGTCCCAAACAACTGCGCGAACGAAACCTCTTCCACAGGGCTTCTCGGTTGCCGTCCCTTTGTCTGGCGATCGCAACCGTCTTCCAAGTTTGGTCAACCCTTGAACCTGAGTATTGACTTTTCCATTATTTACTCGCCAAGGTTTCCCGTAACCAAACAAAACCGAAGAAAAGAAAGACAGATTTAAAAAAAAGGGAAAATAAACTTGGGATACCTGGGGCGCGATTCAAACGAATTAATTTGATAGGAGTCTTTACAGTTCTTTTCATGAAAACGTAACTTGAGTTGAAAGTGTTGAAAGTGTAAAGTATTGAAACTTGTAATCACTTAGTGGGTAGCCCAGCACCGATCCACCATCACTATAGCCTGCATAGCATGGCGGTTTTTGTCGGGAGCACTACTGACCGGCGAAGCCGCAATAACACGCTCAAGATGCTCCCGCCCCAATCTCCTCGCGGCTTCTCTGCGCTCGCCAGCCTTTATTACTTTGCACGCCCAAAAACCGCCATGCTACGCAGGCTAACATCACTATATCCCACCTGTAATGAGGCTCCACTTGATAGTTTCAAACAACTTTTTGGCCCCTTGTCTTCGGTTTATTATGTTTTGCGCGTATCTTCAATACCATTAGAACAGGTGTTGTGTACCTTGTAATTGATATGTAAAGGAAAGTCGATTTCAAAGAATCCTCTCTCGACCACAGCTATTGCTGTCAGGACAGTCAAGTCTCTCATAGGGACCACATCTCGTAAGCGACCACTTTAAAAAATAACCGATTTGTTTCTCAGTCAAATACTGTTTTTGAAACTCTCTTTTAAGCGACCACCGTGACGGAAAAATCACTTTTTAAACCAGAAGTTCGACATATTCTTATGCCAAATTATTTTTTTTTTCCCGTCATGATCACTTACGATTGTAAGAAAACCACTGCTCAAATGTCACAAAAGTTCTGTGCTGATCAAGTGTGCTGAAAGTTGACTTACTTAGATTGTAATATTACATTGATGCAAAATGTTATTTACAGTTTCAGTCGTTCAGAGTGTTACTATATGATTTGAAACATTATTAAGATCTTTACAGAAGGAAGGTTTCAGTCAAGGTGAAGTGGACCACCTATTTAGCGCCTCAGTTTTTCCGAATTTCTCTTATGGTCTGCCTGTTTATGGCGCTGTAGACTCAGATCTCACGGTCAAACAAACCTTCTGGATAGATGCTTTAAAAGGAAATACAGATCTAAGAGAATGGACATTCGACAACTTTTAGAAAAGGCAGATAAGAAGCTATTCAAGGTACGTTCAGTGGATCCCGATCGCCCGCTCAGTAACATCATTCCGAAGAAGAAAGAAACAAAGTATCTACTCAGAAACAAAAGTGCTCATCGGCCGGATATAAAGACTGATAGATTTAAGAATGTTTTTTGTAAATAGTATTATTTTAAGATATAATCTTTGATCTTTCTATTATTTGTATACAGTATGTCTTATGTATTTTAGATTCCCAACTGCTGATGTAACTTAAAATATTTCTTTTTATCTTAGGAGAATATTGCCTGCGTCGCAGACGCTCTAAACCTTCTCTACTATACAAATGGTTTAGACGAGTGCGTAGGCCGGCTGCAACGCAGGCTAGGGAGAATAAAGATTGATTGATTGATTGCCAGTAGTTTGTTTGCCTAAGTTTTAGCTTGTTAGGTAATAACTTTATGTAATCACGTTAATCAGTTAAGTTGGAGCGTTTTCTATTGATTTTTCGCACACACGACCACCTCCCTTAAGCGGCCACTTTCTCGTGCATCAAGGGTGGTCACTTACGAGAGAGTTGCCTGTATACGAGAAGATCGATTGCGCGTACCGATTGACCAAGTGTACCGGCTGCACAGCGAGTATAGAGTGTAACGGCTGTACCGAGTGTACCGGATGTACCGAGCGTAACCAGTGTACCGAGTGTACTGATCTGCCCGCTGAGTCCCTAACTAACTTGACTGTAAATGTTTTGGATTCCTTTGTGCTTTAAAAAACAATTGGCACACTGCACGTTATAGAACTTTCCAGATTTACTGCGGTTCAGCTCTGTGGTGCACAGCAGCTCAAATGTTTAACATGCGTTTTCTGAGATGAAAAAGAGAGTGAAGAGAGTCTATAGATTTCGTCCCATGGGAAATCAGGTTGAATGACGACTAAGTCAGTCCACAGTAATAAAGTCCTCACTCAGTTGGTTTTAAGGATAAAAGACCATAAAATGCTGAACCGGAGAACGGGATTTCTATATTTTGCTTTTGCGCTTAATTACAGTCTGCTAGACTCAACTTTTAAAATAAACAAGCTTCCCATATCTCAAGGTTTTCTCCGACAAGTAGCCACACTATATACTACTCACTGTCATAATGTTCCACTTTATCCTGGACTTAATGATGGTTAATGTTCTTTTGTTCATCTTTTCAGAACTTCAACCTCGGAAAATTCACCATAACAGAAACAGACGCCAGGTTAACTCAGTTAACGCCACTCTTAAAGTCAACAAACTAATATCAGAGTTAAGACCACACATCTGCCAATCAAAAGGTCTTAGGTGTTTGCCTGGTCCCCCAGGCCCTCCAGGTTCACCTGGACCTAGAGGAGAGAAAGGAACCCGGGGACGAAGAGGACACAGAGGGAAACCTGGAAACAAAGGAGATCAAGGCATTATGGGACCACCAGGAAAGAGTGGCAAGCAAGGCATTATGGGACCAGTTGGGCCGCCTGGTGTAGCTGGTCCTAAAGGACAAAAAGGAGACATGGGGCCCGCGGGCTTGCCGGGATCTAAAGGAGAGCCTGGTGAATCAATCTCAGTTCCTACTGTTGCTGTTTCGCCTGCAAGATTGACTGCAAACGAGACCAGATCAGCCTCGTTTCAGTGTTCTGTCAATGGTAATCCTAAACCTACAGTAGTGTGGAGTAAACTTAACAGTCAAACAAAAATGAACCAATCAGCGGTTTTAGGAGACACTTTGCTCTTACAGAACTTGAAAGGGAGTGATGCGGGTGTGTATAAATGTTCAGCGGTAAACATCTTGGGGCAGGCGTACGCAGTTGGTCACCTTATAGTGAATGGTGAGTTTTTTTTTTTGCATTTGTTATTGACTATTATCTTATTTCAAGGATTTACTTTGCGTACCATACAAGATGAACGATGAGGAAAGGTATTACGTAGCAACCTTACAAAAAAACGCGGGAGCGATATCCAGGTATTGTTGGTTTTCACATGACGTCACTAAAATTCAAACTTAAAAACTATCGATCCTACCAAAATTTTACTTTCACGATACATTACGGCAGATGAAAACTAATTTTCATACAAATTATCGCTTCAAAGGGTTCTTGGTTTTGTGATAGAGTACGCTTGAATTTCTAAGCTTTTGCGTAACGCGGCATTTACATGGCAGCAAAAAGAGTTGTCATGTTGATTAGAAAAAGTATTACTTTAATGTTTGTGAGTTTCTCGAAGAATAAATTCCCGCTTTTGTAGCAAAACTCGGTAACAGATGTTTCTGTTGGTTTCCGTCCTCCATGTTGGAGCTCATCCAGGTGAGCAGCAGCATGGCGTCTCCATACACATCTCTATAAGTTTGGGTAAAACATTTCCTCGGATATCTCGTATACCAAATATTCCTCTGACCTGAATCTTGGCGAGGGTCTTTGTATATGTACGTCCTTCCATTTCCCAGATTCTGGACTTTATCTATTGAACGGTTTTGATTTTTATTTTGATCTATTTTGAATGGCGTGACACTGAAAACCAACAATAGTCAACAGTATCTTGCAGAAATTATTTTTCATTCAACTAACGAAAAAAGTTCGGAATTAAATTTTGTTTTGCAGACCCTCTTAATATAAGTACGGTAGGTCAATACTTTTTTTTAGCAAATTAAGTGTATCATGACAGTATAATTAATTCTCGCTTGTTGCACTACCTCAGGAGGAGCTTGCTCCTTTTTTCTAACGTGCTCTGAGGTCGAAATTAACCCAACCTCAGAAAGTTTGTTTGCAAGTTCGTTTGGTCATTAAAAGCTCACAGTTTATTAATGTTGTTGATTAGTTCAAAATCTTAAATCATATTGAAGGAAGATTTAAAAATATTTGCCCTTGGTAAGACGTGGTTAAGTTCCTCTATCCCAAGTGATTTGTCTTACATTCCTGGTTCACTATTGCCAAAACTTGATTTCGGACTTATCTTAGGACATGTTTACATGGAGGTGGGGGACCCCAGACACGTGAGGTAACATGTAGTGGCATGGGTCACCCCACCTATCATGTAAACGTGATCAAATTAAAATGAGAGATTATATGGACAGGCGGGCTACCTCACCTACCTTGGGTCAGCCACCTCCATGTAAACAGGCCCTTAGGGTGAATAAAATTCTTACAGCACACCCACTTAGGCTTTGTTTGCTGAGAATTATTAAGTACAAAGTTGACAGGACTACTTTAAGAAAACTTTACAAATATTTGATGCGAAAACGCTCCGTTTCTTTGTCAACTTGCTGTTTGGTAGTACGTTCTGCAACACGGTTTTTATCTTAACGAGTGCAAAAATGACTCACCATTGCTCTAGCTGCTGCAATTACTAGTCACGCAAAACCACTTAACGCCATTTACGTGGAGGTTATATTTTTATCCTGTCGCGCATTTATAATGTATGTTTTCAGTATTTGGTAACGTCGTATTCAAACCCAGGGTCCGATCGGGCTCTGCATTGCACGGCGAAGTTTTTTTTTTTATCCTTCCTAGTTTATGTTTTATTACTTTTTGCAAGTTTGAAATAAACTGTTTTCTTTCTATAAGGGAAGAAAATTTGTCCAAAAAAACAATTCAACCTCTCTGAGGGTAGTAAAACACATCTCTTTTCCGTTTACAGTTCGCCCCTCCGTATCTCTCGATCCAGGACCTTATTATTTCGTTCAAGGAAGTAACGCCATTCTTCCTGTATGTCACGTGACTGGCCATCCCACACCAGTGATCACGTGGAGCAGATCATTTGGCCAGCTACCGCAGGGGAGGGTACAGAGTAACAACAGTGTCATCAAAGTTGTTAGTGTCCGTAAAGTTGATTCTGATAATTACCTCTGCACTGCGACTAATCTGTTAGGAAGTGTCGTAAAAAGAACTCACTTAGTTGTGGTCTCCCTCCCTCGGTTCACCGTTAAACCTCGCGCGAAAGTTGTTGCATTTCTTGGTCTTGTTATGACGTTGAACTGCAACGCTACTGGTGATCCTCAGCCTGTCATAAGTTGGAAAAAACAAGGATCCGCGCTGCCTCGTGGAAGAAGCCAGCAAATCAATGGCGCGTTAGTGATAAGAGGTATTCGAAAAGAGGATACAGGAAATTACATTTGTATTGCAACAAGTGCAAGAGTATTCAGTGTAGAAACTGGGACCTGCATTGAGGTACACTCTCATAAAGGTTAGTTATGATCATGATTCATAAGAATTAATTCAGAACAAAGATTTTTGGTTTCACCCTGTCCACTATATAGTTTCTTTTTCGGTTGATGACTCGATCTTTCTACTACAACGGATAGCTCAACTTAGGTAGTTCTCATGAATAAACGTTTTGCTTTTCGTGACAAATATAAAGCAAGATCCTTTTTTCATTGTGATAAGCGATAGGCCAATACATTTTTCTTGTTTATTGCAGTTTTAAATTGAACCACTAATAGTTTTTCAAGTAAATAGATTGAAGCAAATAAATAAATGATTGTAAGTATCAAATTAAAGCAACCATATGTTGTATTTCTACTACGGATCTTCACTTATGCCAGTAAAAAACTGAAATTCAATCGTAAAAAAGCCCTTAGGTTTGACTGCACAAAAGAGATTTCAAAGAAAACGACCTTAGCAAACTTTTAGCCACTGAGAAAGAGGAAGAAAAAATTATAAAGGAGCTGGTATGGCCGAAGTGGAATTGTTTTGAGTATCTGCGTAGCAATGCAAAATTGATTTTAAATTAATTTTGAATTATTCCAAATCTCTCACATTGTCGCTTTTGTCTCTGCGTCATATAAATTTAAAAGTCATCTAAATCTGACGAATAATTATTTTAATGGCTCCAAGTCCTCAGACTGAAAATAAAAGGCGAAGGTAACCTGGTACTTGCTGTTCCATCCGAAAAGGTTGTTATTCATTTACTAAGAATAAGGAGCGAACCCTAGAAAACACAAAACGGATCTACGCTATATAACGTATGCCTTGTTTTGTTGTTAGTTTTTGTTCTTGTTCTTATTTTTTCGTGGCAAGAAAAAAGCTCGCTCAAAAACGCTCGCTAAAAAGGCTGCAAGCCTTACTCTCTGGGACGAGGCAGCGTATATCTTTGTTTTACTGTTGTTTATAGCACAGCGACTGTCCAAACAAGCTCTTTCTATCTTGTTTTATCAGATTGCTTCGATCTGTTCAAGTCAGGCTATACTCAGAGTGGAGTTTACTCTGTGGACCCAGACGGAAAAGGATCCTTTAATGTATATTGCGACATGCACACTGATGGTGGAGGATGGACCGTGTTCCAGAGAAGACAAGATGGCTCGGTAGACTTCTATCGCGGCTGGAATGATTTCAAATCAGGCTTTGGTCAGCTGATAGCTGAGCTCTGGTTAGGAAACGACAAGATCCACAGGCTGACAGCCGCTAGACCCAGTACCCTGCGAGTCGAGCTAGAGGACTGGAACGGAGTAAGAGTATACGCCAAATATGGCAAGTTTAAAGTTGGTGATGAGCAGGCGAAGTATCGACTTGAAGTGGGTGCATATTCAGGGACGGCGGGGAACTCTTTGCTCGGTTCATTTAACCTTAATAACATGGCGTTTACCACAAAGGACAGAGATAATGATATATACGGTGGCAACTGTGCGGTGATCTATACTGGTGCCTGGTGGTACAACCGCTGCCACAACTCCAATCTTAATGGGAAATACCTGGGACGAAAATATGATTACAAAGGAGTCGTGTGGAATGAATTCAGACATAAACTTTCACTGAAATATACTGAAATGAAGCTGAGATCGTCATCTTAAAAAGAATACGCATGTTTAATTCTCTCGTTTCACTATTACAAGAATGGAAAGTATTATAGTGTACGCCAACAATGGCAATACCAAGCCCTCTAGGAGTTGAGGTAGAGGACTGAAATGGAGTAACAGTGCCTGCTTAATATGGTAACAGTAACATTGGTGATGAGCAGGCGCGGAATTGAATTGGACTCATTTTCAGGTACAGCAGGAGACTCTTTGCGCTAGGTATTTGACCTGGCGTTCAGCATAAAAGACGGAGATGATATGTGTTTGCAGCCGTGTTGTGTCATACACTGGTGCCTGGCAGTGCAGTAATCTGAATGGAAAGTATCTGGAAAATAAGCAAGCATCAAATGGAGTTCAATGAGTCACATTTCGTCGGAAGATTTCGCTCCGAGGTCTTTATTTTAGAAAGAATATCCCTCACTTCACTTGAAGTGGACTGATATTTTGGGACAGTCGGTGATTGATTAATTAACCCATTGACGGCCGTGTTGGCCAAAACCAGCCGTAGAAGACTATACTGCTTTAAAACATTGCAACTTTCTAAATCGCGTGAACATTGCCTTAATTGTCAGTTTTGAGCATTGCCTAGAATGTCCTTCAAATTGGGATATCCAAGAAACGCAAAAAAAATGAGCGCTTTTTGCGAAATATCACCTTTTGAATTTGAACAAAAGCAAAAAATGACCGTTTTTAACGTCATAGAATATCGAGAAAAATCACGTTTTTCGCCTTCAGGATTTTTAAAGAATCATCCTTGCAAAACTGAAAGTCAACATTCAAAATCAACATGTTAGCTCAACGAAGCAAAATGACTACGTCAGAATGACGTTTACAGAAAACTCGAGCCTTCAGTGTTTCAGAAAGCAGCACTTTTCATGGTAACTCCAAATAAGGAGACACAACAACAACAACAACACCAACTTAAATATTTCAATAATTTGAAACATATATCTTTGTTTACTTTTAACCATCAGTAGGATTAATTATTCCGGATATAAGTTTGTCTCTCAATTCAAAGCAAGATGATATAATAAACAATTAATGAATGAGGCTGAGTATCTTATGAATAATTAAAGAAAGATACACCCTCCGAGATCTCCATAATTCTTCATATGATACGAAAGCCGAATTCAATAATTGTTTTATTATTCATTCAAAATAATTCCTAGTTTACAAATATGGCTAAACATGCTTACCTCCAAAGATCCATCGATGTTAAGTTCATGTTCGATAGTGCACGTTTAGGATTGTTCAGCTACGCAAATATTCTCCAAATAGCAGATGTCGCCCCTCGAGTTGTCTTCTTGCTGTTTTTGCCATGTTTTAGCTATTTTTTCGCCTAGTTCTTACTCTTGAAGCGAGGGAAATGTCCGCCATTTTTCAAGTTCACAACCAAAACAATTCAACCTTGTCCCCAGGTCTTCTCGGTTAACGGTGCATTAACCTGTAGGCTGTAGGCTGCATTTTTGACGTCATTTCCTCGTTAAACAAAATTCTTCCAAATTTGGTCATCAGTGACTGGTTATGGTGAATTATGCGTGTGCTTTTAGCCAATCAATATTGGGGAAATAATTTGAATAAATAATAATTGAAATTAATTGGATGTTAATAAAATAGTCGTTAAATTTCAACAGATGTGATAATTAGGTCTCATGTGATTAAGTCGTAGTAACGGTATTTTAGGTCCTAGTTTAGAGACGAACATCTCTCTTATCGAAGAAAAACTTGGACAATCTAATAAAAGGTGAGTTTCATCTTCAATTTTATTTCAATCGCAGAGACTGCATTCACTTTAACCACTTGAGCAACACTGAGCTACCATATTGTCTGTATAACTAGTCTAGATCAGAAGGACGTTTCGTAAAATGTTTCACAGAAGTTTATCTGATTACCATATTTTTACAAATGAACGAAGTTGATGTTTGCAAATGATATATCAAGGAAGTTAATTGTAAAATTAAAACTATAGCTTACCCTACCACTTCCCGCTGTGGCATCATAACAACGCGAAAGGCTCATTATAATCGCAATAGTGGGTTATTATCTACAACTTCCTTTTTAAATAATATAAAGCTTAATAGATAGCTACAACCAAATTGACCCTTATTATTTCACAAACTTCCTGCATGATGGCGGGTCGCTGGTTATCTACCATCCCATATCCAAGTCCATGTAGGCTCCTGACAAGTTATTTTATAACAAACGTACCTTCGAACCCAGACTTATTCTTGAACGTTTTTCTTCTCTAACCAGATGGCTAGAATTCTGTGAGATTTCCCCCTGGAAATAAACAGTTTTGAGAGTATTTTCCACGTGGTCCGACGTGGCCTTCGTAGAACGCGCTTGAAAGCAATGGGCACCCACTATTTCAGTCGCCTGCCAAGCATGCTAGATCCAACGTCATTAAAACAATTCATGAGACCATATTTTAGCTTGCTTTGGTTTTCGTAACAAATTATTACCAAAGCACCTTAATTGTCCTATGACGTAATTTTGGTTCTTAAAATAGCTTTTGCAATACTGTATGTACCGCAGTGTACGTACTTGTATGGTCATGCTAATAAAGTTCGTTGTTGTCGTTTATCAAAATTTTGTTTTAGAAGAGAAGAGTTTGAGATTTTTAGACAACGGTATTTTTTTTTAAACTCGCTAGTTATTTCCCAGCGCTGGGATGAACTTAACACTGCTTAAATAAACGGTGGTCAGAATACCAAAAATAGATCGTTTTCACTGTCACGCAACAAAAAACTAACTTGGAAACCGTCCAGTGGAAGAAGCCACGAAAATGAAATGTTATAAAAGACTAATTTATAAACAATTGTCCAAGTGTCAGGTCTTTGTGCCCTCAGTTTCTGAGTTATTTGCCGAAACGTTTCACTCACCTTTGTAGAGCTTTGTATGGAGACGCCATCTTGGTGCACCGTTTTGGTGCACCAATATGGGCGCCGGAAACCATCAATAACATCTGGAGTTCACGTTTTCCATAAACGCTCTTCTTTTCACTCGAGAATACTAGAATACGTGCGCATACACATATCTTCTAATAATTGAAATGGTTATACTGCTGAAAATCAAGAGGAGAGACTATTTTTTAACGAGACAGCATTCCCATTTTGGTGTCACGCACTGTGAAAACTCGCAAGTTCAAATTGCTGCATTTTCGAAATGAAACATGTCACGGGAATGGAAACTTGTTCAAAGATTTAGTTTTTGTTATCTTCAGAATTCGTAAAACCTCGCTATTTTGACTTTACAATTTGATGACGTCACTGTGAAACCATCTATAGGCCATTTTCACGATTACGACATTTGACAGCTCACTACAACTACCAGGATTCATTTCGTTTTTGCTTTCTTATTTAAAATTCTTAATCCCTCTGAGGATTAAAGAATAAAGAAAGCAGAAGAAAATAGCAAACTGTAGGATTTTTGGTAGTTGTTAGTAGTAAAATGACGTCATCATGCAATTTTCCTATTTGGGGATGTGCCAAAACGGATTTGAACTTTGGTTCAGGTCAAACTGAGGGAAAAAACAATTAAGAAAACTGCACCCGTGAACACGGTATCAAATTCAATGAAGTCCGAGCGCCGAGGAACAACGCAGTCTGCTGATATTGCCTGAAATGGTAACTCAAAAGCAGAGTTTGCCTTCTTTTGCCAGTGTTCTTTCTGCCTTGTCTATTGTGTTTTTACTCTGTCGGGTTTTTGAGAGTTGTATTGGAGTTACATGAGCAGAGTGAGAGGATTAACGCGCTTGAAAACAACGGACAGACTGAACTGCGGCCATCATTCGAACCAAGCCTTGTGGATATACCCAAGACAAGGTCTCTCGGTAAGTTTGTTTCTCAAGTCCTGTTTACTTTTTAACTTAACTAGGGTATAGCTACACGGTCGCTACGGTACTGTCAGTCGGCAACTTCTTTCCAGGTCATATTAGAGACTCATACATCATAGCTAGTATCGTTTTACTTGCACTTAAAAGTGCGTACGCTGGTGGATGCACTCGTTCAATTTTTGGGTAAGTGTGTGCCGCTGAGCCGCAAATTATCTAGGAGCCTATTTTAGACCATTCACAAAAACCTCACTAACCAGTCTATACTAACCAACTGTAAGCTAGAAACTCCAATCTTCACTGAAAATTGGGATCAGTTTAGTTTTCTGGGAAACCGAGCTCGATACGAGTTTATCGAGCTCGATATGTCCTATTCTTAACTAAAATCCCCGATTTCTACCAAGGGATAAAGTGCATAAAAACCATTACCTTTACTTACCTTTAAACCGTAACGGCTTCCTCACCCGGGTGTCTACGTACCGTGATCCCTTATTTAGCGCTAAGGTTTATGGCTTCCTGCTGAATAAAACGACACAGACGGTTACCGACTCAATATATAGGGAACTGCTTTTTTTTCATCAATTGAAACATAAGATGATTTTCTTAGCAACACAGTTGAACCATGATCTCGCTTTCCTCTTTACGAAAAAGACCTCTCGAGATTCGTAGATGCAATCTTATACTGTGACATTCTTAGCTATCTATTCTCAGCAATTCTTGCAAGGACTACTTGGACAAACAGCGGCGAGGCAAAGCCGGATCTTGTCGTAGATCAGGATCAGCAATATAAAATAACATTTAAAATTGAAGGCAAGGCTGATTGGACAGCTAAGATTTACAAATTTATTTGCCCAATATGTCCACTAGACAAAACTAGTGTTCATCAGGGGCTGGAAAAACTAAGTGAGAATAGAGTAAACGGTTACAGTATATAAAATAATACAAAAATGAAAAATAAAATGTGATTGGTGGAGGAATACAATAGACAAAAACTTGTATAAAGAGGTTACTTAAAAATATATGTCAAAAGATTAAATTTCATTTCGTCTGTTCATCCCATAGGGTTCAAGTGTTTTGCCTTTAGATATTAAAAATCCTTCGCGGGCCTTACGGATACTGTCCCTGTCTGAATTAATCAGTTCTAATGGAATGAATTCTATGTCCTTCATGGAATGATCTGGAAGGGAGAACTGATCTGAAACGGCGGTGGAATGAAGCAATATGGGTTTCTGGCTTTTTCTATGGAGCGTCGGTGCTTTTCATATCTGTCACTGAGCTGGCGTTTAGTTTCGCCGATGTATTGCATGTTACATTTATTGCACCGGATCATGTTAATGTGACTGGAAAGTGAACGGGAGATGTGGTGTCGGATGCGTCGTTGTTCTTTGGTAGAGAAGAAGGTGTAAGACGTGGTTCCTTTTGTAACAGAAGGACACGTCTTACACCTACCTCTGTTATAGCGGAAAGCTCTCTAGTGTTTTGGGGTGGTGGTCTGCGGTGTTTCGCTCTGACAAGGATTTCACGCAGATTTGGTATTGCAAAGTTGATAGGGTATAATAGGAGGAGAAGGAAGTGCTTCTTTGCATCATTGTGAAGAATGAAGAATGAAGAATGTTAAGTTTGCCATAAATATGGTTTATGTTGGGAAGAGCTGGATTGAATGTTACTACAAATGGTACTCTGTCAGCGCCTGATACGCAAGTATCTTGTGGAGATGTGCTTCATGAAAGGAAGCAAAATGATAATAACGTGTCTGTAGAAGAATAGCGTTGGCGCAGTGCCACAGAGAATGGTCCGCGCTATCCGCTTTGGCTAACAAGGAAGCCAAGATTTAAGGGTCACCCGCTTCAAGTTCCACTGTACAGCACAGACCTGTACAGTTTGATTTTGACGATAGCTTTCTACCACCAAATTTGTCTCCCTTTTCTTCCATGACAAATAACATTTCTAGTGTGATGCAGCAGTTATTTGCATTTCGGCTTGTAATTTAGGATTAATTGGACAAGCTGGAGTTCAAAGGAACCACCAGCCTTTGATCCATCGACATTGTTTTCAATCTAACTGACAAAAACTAGGCGCAACGCGTCAAGAGACGATTAAAAGTTTGAAAGTACAGAGATAAACTTTCAGGGGCTCATAAGGAGGATTTTTGCAACCATAATAAGGCATAGATTGTGTTTTTATCAAAGCAATTTTAACCTTTTTCTAAGAATGCTGGAAAAATTTGCCTTTTCTCCACTCTACAGTCCCCGCCTGGCGGATGGGAAAATTCCCAGCCAGAGGGTACACCTACAGTTTGCCAGACGAAAAAAAAAAAAGAAAAAAAGAAAAGAAAAACAAAGCAAGGAATACAAGCAATCCTAGAACTTTTGTAGAATTCCTCGAGACCTCAATCTTATTCTACGTAGCACAAGAATGACTGCTGAATGTGATCATTTTTGTTACAGAAAAATACTAAAGGAAATTTTCCCTATCCTGTCTGCAGGGACAGATACATTCCAAACTGGCAGTTGAAATAGGCAAGATGAATTAAAGGGTTTGTCAAAAGCTTGTCACCTCGAAATCGAGGTCATAATCCTAGATATTAGCTATAATTTGCACTGTGTAACAATAATCAAGCTTGTTTTTTTGCCTGTCTAAAGCTTCGATTGCTCAAAGTCCATAAAAATGGAATCTATAAGCGTCACGTTGATTCAATCAACGCAACCAGCTCAAATTCTGTGAAGCCGACGATGCATGAAATCAACAAACTTTTATCAGAAGGCAGAGTGCAACTTTGCCATTCAAAAGGTCTCACGTACTCAGTAGCAGGCCCAGGGGAGAGAAAGGAGCCCAGGGACGAAGAGGACACAGAGGGAAACCTGGAAACAAAGGAGATCAAGGCATCATGGGATCACCAGGAAAGAGTGGCAAGTAAGGCATTATGGGACCTGTTGGGCTGGCTGGCGAAGCTGGTCCTAAAGGACAAAAAGGAGACATGGGGCCCGCGGGCATTCCGGGATCTAAAGGAGAGCCTGGTGAATCGATTTCAGCACCTTCTGTTGCTGTTTCTCCTGCAAGGTCGACTGTAGACGAAAGTGGATCAGCCAAGTTTCAGTGTTCAGCTACTGGGAATCCTAGGCCTTCACTAATATGGAGTAAATTGAATAGTGAAACAAAAATAAACCAGTCGGCGGTTGCAGGCGGAACTCTGCTCTTAAAGAACTTGAAAGGAGGTGATGCGGGTGTGTATAAATGTTCAGCGGTGAACATCTTGGGACAGACGCACGCAGTTGGTCATTTGGTAGTGAACGGTGATTTAATGTACACATCGTGTCAAAAGGGCAAAATGAAAACACAATACCATAAACAAAAATTTATTCATTCTGAAAAAAAAAAATAAAATAAAAAAATTAGTTCCCTTTGGCAAGTAGATTTTTAATCACGGCAAGTCTTGCAATTCAGTTAAAATGTAAATACAATACTTTTTTGCACGAATGTTTTGTAGAACATACCTCTGGCAGAGAGTCAGTTAAGAACGTTTTCATTTTGTTCATTTGTTTAGTACAGTTAAGCTTTACTTCAGTTATTTTACAGATATTTGACCATTTATTTAACGCTAGTGCAAGGAAACGAGAAAACTGCCACTTTCGCCATAGATATTCACGTATAACTGTGGTAATTGGAAGATCATTAATCGCGCCATTCCTTCTAAAGACAAAGAAAGACCAGCTCATACCAAAAACCTGACAGTTGTAGCCAAGGAATTCAATCAGTTTTTCTCCAAGGTTGGCAAAAATGCCGCTGACGAATCTCGGCATCTGTCAGAAGGAAATAACATTACAATTCGAGAACTTTCAACCGATACGAATACTAGCTCCACCCCTGATGAGCTATTCAATTTAAGAACAGTGACATGTGAGGAGGTTCGTCGAGTTGTAGCATCTCCACCACTGAATAAATCACCTGGACCTGACAAAGTTAGTGCTCCCATACTGAAGGACTGCTTGCCTGTCATACTCGGTCCTTTGACTGAGATATCGAGGAATTGCAGATTTATATGAATTCGAAATGTATTGATATTCTTGCGGTTAATGAAACTCGTCTCGATGATACTATATCTAGTGGCGAAGTTACAGTACCAGGCTATGCCCTGGAGAGAAATGATAGAAACAGAGACGGAGGGGGTGTCGCCCTTTATATCCGGAATACTATCAATTATGAACGCCTATTTGATCTCGAGTGCGAAAGCCTCGAGTGGATTGGCATTAAGGTAATCAAACCCAAGGCTAAATCTTTTATTGTGAGTACGTGGTATAGACCACCACGTTCTAATGTAGACGCCATGAAGGATTTTGAACTTCTCATTCAGCGAATCGAATCGCTGGGGCTAGAGGTAAACATTTTGGGGGATTTAAATTGTAATGTGGCTGCTTGCCCACTAGAATCACATACAAAGAATCTTCTGGAAATTTGTAACCTTTACCAATACCACCAGT